AGCATTTGAGAGAAATCTCTTGGTGACAAGGGTCAGGAGCAGCATGAGAGAAATCGTGTCTGATGATGTCACCCGGCCGAAGCCCCTCATTCAGTCCTCATCTCGCTGAGCGCAAATGCCCTAACCATGATCTGTCTGGGGCCTCCGGGCCCTCCTGCTCCACCCACACTGCTTCTTCAGAGCCTCTGTGCTCTGGTTCCCTCTGAAGGGTGGCTCCTCCCCCAGTTAATCTGAGCCTTCTTCCTCAGATGTCACCTTCCTGGTGACATCCTGCCCTGCCACCCTCTCTGCCCTTCCCCATTTTATTCTCCTCCCTACCCATTACCACCAGCCAATGCGGAATGGATTTTACTTATTTGTCTTTGTTGATTGTCTGTCTCCTCTGAGGAGTGAAAAGTTTGGGAGGAACAGCTTTTGTCTATTGGTTCACTGTTACACTCCTGGGGACCTAAACAGTACCTGGCATAGAGCAGGTACTCAATAAATATATGTTGAATGATTGAAGGAAAGAGTTAAGAAGGACTACGCCAGACGAAGGCTTCTGGAGTTTATCTGGAAGGCAAGGGGAAGCCATGGACTTTTTAACTGGCAGAGGTAGGATAAGCGGATCTGTTTCTAGGATAACTCTGATGGTGACAATGATAGATGGTGGGGGTGGGGGTGGGGGAGAGACGGGAAGTAGGAGGTTCTATGAAGGGGGTTCCTGCAGCAGAGGATGATAGCCTGCCGTGGGTCAGTGGCAGTGGAAACAAAGAAGAAAAGAAGGATTTGGAGGTGAAAAAAAAATAGGTTAAAATGCATTATTGCTCAGATTTTATGCATCAGTCCTAGAAAACAGTTTCAAGTACTTTCAATTCTCATATGTAACAATTCATCGTCACAAAATCTGGTATAATCTTAGATGCAAAGATTGGTTCTGAGCCTTGGCTTCCAATAAAGCAAGCTGTATAGCTATGCTGAGGAGGCGCTCAGGTCAGGCTGTGGGAATCTGGAAAACAGAGCCATTCTTCAGAGCAGCTTTGTTACACATCTTGGAAGCAACCTTCTTTGTCTGGTAGGGTGATGGGACTCCTCTCCACTACCTCCCTGTTCATCTCAGAATCACATTTCAGTATTTTTAATTTGGCTTCCAGGCTCTCACTAAATTTGAGATTCTCCTTCTTTCCTTCCTTTCAAACCATCCATTTTTGTAAAACTTGCTAACTAACCAACCAACCCAACATTTTATTTTGGCCTCTTTCCTTTAACCCTTCATTCAGTTACACCTTCCAAATACTATTCCAAGTTCCTTCTCTGATTCTTTTCCTGGACCTTCTTTCACACTGGGCAAAACTGCCTGGAAAGCTTTCATAAAATCCATTTAGAAGTCACTTTCGTCTCTCCCTTGACCCTCAACCTCACCACCAGCCAAAGTACCTTTCCTGTGTGTAAAGATGACAGAAGGCCATTCTCAGGTATGAAAGAAAAATGTATCGCTGCCTACTGCTCTTGAAACAAGAACTACTTCAAAATACACTCTAGCCAACTGAGAAATAACTGCTGAGAAGTTAGGATGGGAATCACAGTGGACAGGTCTGGGAGTCTGTCCTGGGCGCTACCCCCAGCCACAAGGACTCTGGTCAGTGGAGACGCAGCCCCTCGGCACACACCGCCAACCTGGCCGCTCCAAGAGACAGCGAGAGTGAGAACAGGAAGGGCCTTCCTTCTCCAGTGCCACTGGACGAGGCTGAAAGAAACTGTCTGTTCCTTAGGAATTGTTCTCCTTCGTTAAGGTGATCATCCTGTAATTGGAATCCTTCTGTAAAAGCCTCTCCCTCAAGAAGAGTGTACTGTGCGATTCGAGGCACAATTAAATATGATTACAGTTACACTGAGAACAAAAACAAGCAGCATCCATGGCGAGCAATAGGTTTGGGAATAACTTTCTGTGGCTCCTGTCACTCCCCGCTGACACAGCTCCAGGGCCCGGCTACAGACGGGCCAGGCCTCCCTGTGGCTGCACCAGGCCCTCTCCATGGGGTCTGGACGGGTAACCCCACCTCACAGCCTTCTCCACAGGTTCACATCCCGTTGGCCTCCATGCAGGCCTCGGCGCCTTCTCACACATCCATCCTTGTCTGGGATCATTCTTCCTCAATGTGAAGGGGAAAGCCTATGTACCTTCTTTTCCGTGAAGCTTCCCAGACACGGCCCCTTTGCTCGGCCACCCTCACAGAATCTGGGCAGGTATCAAAGCCCCCAGCACATCAGTGGTTGCTCTGAGTGTATAACTAGGCATGATAAAGTGGACTGAGTTCTCTCGTCAAACTCCTTGGCCATCCTCACAGGATTCTGAGTGAAAAGCCCTTCTCCGCACGTGCTGTGTGCAGACACCTGAATCCGGGGCCCTTGCCTCATCAGGATTAAGACTGGGGGCTCACAGTGAGTGAGTTCAAGTATCGCATCCCCCAAAGACGATTTCCTCTAATTATAGAGAAGTAACAAAAAAGGGCTGCTTTCTACCTGTATCGCACGTGTATTTCATCCATCTGACTGTAAGCTCTATGAGTGCCGGGACTGAATTTATTTCTCCGCTCACTGTTTTATCCCCCAGGAACTAAAACAGCTTCCTCCTTCAGGCCTGTTCTCATCAATGTTTGCTGAGAGTATGAATGTCTTATTCACAGTACTTACTTCCCAGGTAGTGCAAAATCATGCCAGGAACAATCACATTGACCGATGCTAAGCTGAATGAATGAAAATCCTGCCTCAGTTGTAAAAGGAGACTGCTTTCTTTATGCCTAAACCAAACTTGACAAAAGACTCCGTCAGAAACGCACACCTGCCTTCCTCCTCCCAGGCCCCCACCCCCACCCCTTTGTCTCAGCTCCCGTGTGTAACCCTGAGAAACAAAAAGCGGCTTTGTCTTCCTGGAAGTAAAGGTTTCACAGAAATGCAAGACATTAACCCCCCCCCCCCCCCCCGCAACACTTCGGGCGGCAAAACCTGGGGGGCTCAGGAAGAAATTCATTCAAAATTCAGACAATGAAAAAAGAGGCGCTTTCACATCTTCAAAATCCCGAGCACTGACAAAATTCTCCCCCTTGAGAAGCGATTCAGAAATGCCTGTGCTGGGTTCCAGGCCCCTCCAGGGCAGCCCTTTCTTCTGGCGGGCTACTCCCAGAGCGGCTGCCCACTTGTGCAGGCAGGGAGCAGCACCGCTGCAGCAGCATCAATAAAACTGACTTCCGCCCACATCTCTAACCACCCTGCTGGCGTTTCAGAGATAGGGAATTTGTCAAATTTTGCCTCTGTGCCAACCTGGCTCTCTTAGAGGAGTCTTGAGGCTTACGACCAACCCAGAAAGAGATCTGCTTTACTTCTCTGCAGTCTCCGAAGATGACCAGAAACAATCATAAAAAAAGGAACAAAGGGATTACAAATTAATCTGCCCTCACCGGCTCCTGTGACTGCAAAGATATGATTACAAACCCAGGATTTGCAAGAGCTCTCAATTCCTCAGTAACCTCCGCTATCGTGTCTATCAATCACTGTGTTTATTATTATTTTTTTTTAATTTTTAAAAGCTCCTCTCTTAGGCAGGGCATGATGGGGAGCTATGTTCTTTCTTCACTCAACAGTAACAGAAAAATATGTCCTTAACATTTCAGAAAGCAGATCGTCTCTGTGCTATAACCATTAAAGCGTGGAGGTAAAACGGCACAAGTGTCCTTTACATCAGTATCTGTCTAAATTAACGAATTTAAGCCTGAATCACCTAAACCATGGTTTCTTTGGAGAGCATGACTCTCATAATCCAGAAAAACCCCAGGGTTTAAGAATCTCCAATGTCTTTACACTATACTTGCCTGTGAGCTTCCCCAGTGGTTCAGATGGTAAAGAATCTGCCTACAATGCAGGAGACCCAGATTCAGTCCCTGGGTTGGGAAGATCCCCTGGAGAAGGAAATGGCAACCCACTCTTGGAGATTTCCACGGACAGTAGAGTCCAGAGGGTCACCAAAGAGTCGGACCGGACCGAATGACTAACACTTTCACTTTCAGGAGGTGTTAGTGGTACAGAACCTGCCTGCCGATGCAGAAGACATAAGAGACAGGGGTTTGATCCTTGGGTCAGGAAGATCCCCTGGAGGAGTGCACAGTAAACCCACTCCAGTATTCTTGCCTGGAGAATCCCATGGACGGAGAAGCCTGGCAGGTTACGTCCATGGGGTTGCAAAAAGTTGGACCCGACTGAAGCGATTTAGCACGTACGCATACTTGCTTTTGTAGAGCGTATTTTAATCATTCAGAAACATGCAGTGAAGGTGTTCCCTGGTGGTCTAGTGGTTAGGATTCCAGGCTCTCACTTCGGGGGTGGGGTGGGGTGCGGGGCCATCAGGTTCAATCCCTAGTCCAGGAACTGAGATCCTTCTATAAGCTGTGCAGTCAACCCTCTCTCCCCCTAAAACAACCCCCCAACCCCCAAGAATCCCAAGACATGTGTAGTGAATGGCTTCTACATGGCGTTTCCTCTGCGCCTCTGCTCTCTCCAGCCACCTGGAGCAGCGCCTGCAGAGAGGGCAGGTAGTGGCATCTTCCTGCCAGGTTCACGCCATGGGTCAGTGCTATGGTGGAATCAAAAAGCAGTGAGCCAGAAGGGTCTGCAAAGTCCATCTGCATAGTTCTGCCAGTGACATTTCTGTCTTGGGAGCCAGGGACACATACTCCTACTGAGAGGGGAGAGGAGAGAACCCATGGACTGAGGTGGACTGAAGCGTTCACCAGCTGCTAACTTCATTAATTAATCCTGGTACACAATTCATGATGGTTGCTTGTCTACACACCATGGGGGCTCCCACTTCTGCTTTCCCCTGGCTAAATATCTGTCCATGTTCTTCAGATTCCCACGCTTGGCAGAAAGCTGAAAATGGGGCTGAGAAGGCAATCAGGAAGAGGACTCCCCAGATACTGTTGGGAGAACACCCACTCAGGCCCATTTCTGCTGTGTTTGGCTCTTACCTGGGTACGGAACTCTTCCTTTGGTGACCAGCTCTGTGAGTAAGATTCCAAAAGACCACACGTCAGACTTGATGGTGAACCTCCCATATAGGGCTGCTTCGGGGGCCGTCCACTTAATGGGGAACTTGGCACCTGCAGGAAGAACACCTGGTTACTCCTTGGGCAGAGATCATGGCTCTGGGCGTGGGGCTGGGGAAGGAACAGCAGGTGTAAATGTGTTCATGGGATCAGGTTCAGAGAAGGGGACACGGAGGAGGGGAAACTGGACACAGGCTAGGACTGAGCAGCTATGGCATCTGTTCCTGCCTCTGCAACCCTAAGCAAGTCCCATCTGGGCTTCAAAGCCCCTTCAACGTTCTGGCTTTTGAACCTGACTCTACAAACCGACTGAATGTCATAGGTTTGGTCTGGAGGTAGGGCTAACTTATGATTTAGGAAACTTATATTTTTTTCTTTTACTTTCAAATAATGTTGTAAATCATAAGGTTACCCTCAAGAATCCTTTAGTGTAAAAGACCATAGTCTCTTCTTACTGAGGTACATAAAAACCAGATCAAACCACCACACATTTCCCAAGGGTGGAGACAATTTGCTGTAGCCCATGCATTATGTGGGACTTCCCAGGTGGCGCTAGTGGTAAAAAAAAAAAACCCATCTACCAATGCAGGAGATGCAAGAGGCACAGGTTCGATTCCTGGGTCAGGAAGATCCCCTGGAGGAGGAAATGGCAACCCACTCCAGTATTCTTATCTGGAGAACCCCAAGGACAGAGGAGCCTGGTGGGCTACAGTCCATGGGGCCACAAAGAGTGTGACGTGACTGAGCAACTGAAAACACAACTCACATATATGTGGAGATGGGCTGTATTTCCCCAATGCCTCCACACCCACAGCAGAGAAATGATTTTGCCTCAAGTTCCTTCCCCACTACAGGGCTTCCCTGGTGGCTCAGTGGTAAAGAATTTGCCTGCAATGCAGGAGATGCAGGTTTAGTCCCTGGGTTGGGAAGATCCCCCTGGGGAGAGAAGGAAATGGCAGCCCACTCCAGTATTCTTGCCTGGGAAAATCCCACTGGACAGAGGAGCCTGGAAGGGCTATAGTCCATGGGATCACAAAAGAATCAGACACGACTTAGCAAAACAACAACTTCCCCACTACACTCTTCTTAGTCGCTCAGTCATATCCGACTCTTTGCAACCCTGTCAACTGTAGACCACCAGGCTCCTCCGTCCATGGGATTCTCCAGGCAAGAATACTGGAGTGGGTTGCCATTTCCTTCTCCAGGGGATCTTCCTGACCCAGGGATCGAACCCAGGTCTCCCGCATTTTGGGCAGACGCTTTAACCTCTGAGCCACCAGGGAAGCTCTAATAGTAGCCACCTTTAATTCTGGGGAATGTTTTTCTTATGCACTGTATCATCCCTTGCTTACCTCCCTGTCTTTCTTCTATGAGCCAGACAGGGTACTATCTAAAATTTTTAGAGTGGTTTTATCTCAATGACTATCTTATGAGTCTGATTTCTCAGGACCAAGAAGCAAATTTTGTGCCAAATCTTTTCTTGCAAATGTCTCCTGTTAAAAGAATCCTTTCTCCAATCAAAAAGGAAGGGTGGGGTCCACCCTGCTCCTTACAAAGCTAGATGTGTATAAGGGGAATTAAAATTGATTCAGCAGCCTGTGCTCTCACACATTAGGCTCAGCAATTATAAAGCAGTTTCGGATATTTCATTGAACAGACTAAAAGGGAAACACAAGGAATTTTTATTACTGATGTAAACACAATTATATGTTTAAAGCATGTTAATTTTACTTAGGAATGCCTAAAAAAAAATCACACAAAGGCTGACAAAATCAGAAATTTTCATAGTATCTTCTAGGAAAAGCCATTATGTGTAAAACTGGCAAATGATTAAAATCTTTGAATTAGCATGGTTTTAATAACCAGAGGTATGATAAATTACAGCAATTAGATTTTTGTTTTAAATACAGTACATGATAACATCTTCAGCAAATCTACCCTGGCATTTTTGGGCAATATAATTTTCCTCTCCATCTCTTCTATGCCCGCGTGAAATGAAAAAAAAAAAAAATCCTACTATTTCATTCTGTGGCATCTCATATTAACACTGGAGCACAGAAATGATTCTCTAGTTTTTCTTCCCTTTTATGCATCGAGTTATTTTTAATTAGCTATGTTTCTCAAGCATAATTACTTATATCTTTGCTTAAGTGCTGCATGATTCCACACAAGGTCTGGTATTCTCTGAACAGTCATTCTGTTTTTAAAGTTTCCTTCAAAGCATTCTTCTCACACTTCCTATCCTCCAGCATTCTGTTCACGCAGCTTTGGACTCCGAGCCTCTGGGATTAATGTGATAGATTCTCTTCAGTGTCGAGAGCTGACTTTGCCCTGGACCAAACCTCAGCTGGAGTTCTCTTATTTCAGAGAATTAAAGGTATATTAAATTCATTCCTATTTAAACCAGCTCTCGAGCTAAATGGCTTGGAAATCTATGTCCGTCTCTGAAGCAAATAGAACATTTTTCTCCACTGTGCAGACACAAATCCTGTAAATAAAATGACGAGCAAAAGAAGCCTTTCTTCCCTTCTTGGAATCATTCCATGTTGCTCAAGATGTGAGTGTTGCTGAAAGTAAACTAGTTAAAATTGGGATAAAGTCATTTTGGATTTTCTGAGAGAAGATTTCATAATTTCAGATTTTTTTTTAAAAAGCAAATGTCAATATATCAGCCAGTTGCGTTAGTCTGCTTTATCGTTTTCTCATTATATCATCTACAATAAGAATTATATAAACCTTCAGAAGAGAAGCTGAAACAAAGGCTGTAATGGATCTCTGATAAGAAACCATTTGTAAGTATGTGCTCTGACTTACTAGTAGGAGCTTACTTAGATACATTTATTTTGCATTAGTTTTCTTTCTAAGATAAGCAACGTATTTACATATAATATGTGTTGGAGGGGAAAAAATGAAGAATGCCTTTGTCTTTGTTTTGGTCTCAAAATAGCAGCCGCTCTTGACTTCTCTAAAGATAACTCACAGTTTCAAGGAAGACAGAAGGTTAAATTAAAGCAGAGATAAACTGTCAGTGATCAAGTGAGGTTTCAATGGAAAAGAATGAATCAATGCTCACTCTTCTACTCATCTTGTTGCTTCAATTTCTCCTCATTTTGGTCTCCTGCCTCCTCAGGGTACAGACGCAGCTCCACATCTGGGAGAGTTCACGCCGGGCTTGGGCAGGGGTCTTTGAAAATGGCCCTGAGGTTGCACACTGCAAACCCCATCTGTGAGGATGGGGTCCCTAAGGTTGCCGTGGATACAGCCCAGCTGGGGTTGGATGGGCTTGCTCCTCGGGTAAAGTTAGGAGAGCTCAGAAGCCTGGAAAGAAGGACCTCCTGGGTGTAAACACTGCCTTTTCCTTCAAAACAGAGTTCTGCCCCCTCAGATTTTTTTTCATAGGTATCATGGCAGGCATAAAGCCAAGATCAGAGTTCTGATTGGATGGATTTGTAGAAGAAAGGGGACAATGTCGGAGACCGCTGCCACAACGAGCGTGGTGTTGCCACATAACTAGCTGATTCACTCTTCCTGGAATTCCCCTTTGGGACCAGGATTAGACACCAAGATAATGTCCTCTCCTCTGCACCTCACTGGAGGAAATCAAGCAGCCGATGAAGGTGTGACGGTCTGTGTCCGTAATACCATGGGCCACGGGGGTCCCAGAAACTCTCAGAGTACTTGTTCAATGTTCGTGCTGTGTGCTCATTTGCTCAGTCGTGCCCGACTCTTTGAGACCTCATGGACTGTAGCCCACCAGGCTCCTCTGTCCATAGGATTCTCCTGGCAAGAATAGTGGAGTGGGTAAGCCATTCCCTTCTCCAGGGGATCTTCCCAATCCAGGGGTCGAACCTGCGTCTCCTGCATTGGCAGGTGGGTTCTTTACCACTCGTGCCACCTGGAGAGCCCAGCATGGAGCCTACTTAGAGAAGGACCTTCACTGATCTTCACAGAGGCATCTCTGGCCTCTGCGGCCTTATCACCATCCATACTGAGTTGACCTCACACCGGTGAAGGTGTCGGCCCCTCTTCATCTTCACTGCCTGCACTCCAGTCCTCACTGGCTCCCTGCCACTGGCCTCCCCCCGCAATTCCTTCCAGTTGTCTCCCCCCACAATCTGGCCCCTCCCCCCACTCCCCAGCCTCCTGTAACCCTGGGCCTCCCCTCCTCTGCTCCCCCAGGTCCCCTCTGACTATCCTTCCTGCTGCAGGGCCTTGGGTCAGGCTGTTTTCTTTGCTGCAAGTCCCACCCCACTCCTGCCCATGGCTAAGTCACACTCCTCCTTTTGTTCTTGGCCTGAGTGTTTCTGGCTGGGAAGCCCTGGCCTGAGCACAAAGTCTGGGGCAGGTTCCTTTCTTTCTAGGCATTTCTCTTGTCTCTGCTGTAGGTTCCTCCTCAGCTTCCCTCTAAGTGTCTCAGAGGTCTCAGTGCTATAGACCCTTCTCTCTGCTCATTCCCTGGGCTGCCAGGGTGTCTGATTCATTGTGGCTGTGACTACTCAAGTGCAGTGAACACGTGAGTTGTCAGAAAGTGCATTTCTCTCCTTGGACAGAGACTGTCCTTGGGGGCTGGTACCTGTCCCTGTGGACGGCCACCATGTGTGCGGTACTGAGCCCAGTGCCCGCTCTACAGAAGGCACTGCTTAAGGAGGTGCTGAATGAATGAGTAACTGGACACTGATTAACCTGTTCGGCCTTCCCTTCCTGGTGGAACAACCGTGGTTCCTTATAGGGCTTATAATCAGTTCCCCCTTCTCTGGCAAGCCCTTGCCTTGTCCTCAGTGACCAGTGTCACTGTCTACCACCACCTGGATGCCCTTTGAAGGGTTTAACAACTGTCAACTACAGTAGAAAAGCATCTGTCACATGCTAAGGAAACAAAAACACCTGGAAATCCCAGATTTTTTAGTCCCAAATGAAGTGTGTTCAGAAACCTTTGGGTCGGAGTAAAGCTGTCTGAGACGGCAGGAATCTTGGATTTGGCTCTCTGATGGGCCTAGGGCTACAGCTGGGAGGTTAGACCCACAGAGAGGCAAGGTAGCCAGAGGCCTTGGAGC